GTCGGGAAGGGGATGGGGGTGAGTTATTATGGGTAAAAAACTGTTTTTCTCGATTTCCGGCAAAACTAAAAGTCTTATCGAAAAAAGTCATATGGCAAAGTTGTAGGTAATAAAAAGATCTAAAAATTTTGTATTTACACTTTTTTCACATAACCTCAAAATTTATGTGAAAAATTCAAAAAACCAAGTTTTTGGTTTTTTATTTTTATCTTTTACAAAAATATTTTTTTTTAACGAAATTTGCTGAAAACTTACCTTTTTATGTTCCAAATACGCTGTAATTTATTTGATTATAAATATTTATTTTTTCACCTTATTTTGAATTAATATCGAAAAAGCACCCTAATTTTCAATCGAAAATTCACCCGTCAAAATATCAGCTTTTTTCAAAAAGTTGGTATGTTTTCTGTTCTTTGAAATCTCTACTTTCCGATGGTGAAAAAAATAATATATGTTACTTTAGTAAATCTTCTGAGAAAATGCAAAAAACAAAAAACCTTTTTTATTTCATACACTTGCTTATCATCTGCCTTATTGCAGATGATACAAACAGATTCATCCATACTGATAATCTGAAAAGACAAAATCGAATTAATAATGCCTTCACTATTTTATCGTGAGTATACCCCCATGAAAAAAAATATTAAAGAAATAAATGTATAAATATATTATTATTATTGTGTGGTGCCGAGGTCGGCCCTAGCTACGTCGACCAGTTTTGGTCCATTGTAGCTCCCTTTATAATGAGTTCAAAGTTCTCCGCTTAGTTCTGTTGACTCCAGGAACTTCCAGATTTTCTGAGCGGGGAGCATCTGTATCTCTTCTGGTTGCATAATATGCTGCCCTAGATAGATACTTCTGAGGTGCATGAGTGGACCGCGCGAGCAGAGGATGTGCATAGCAGTTTCCTCTGTCTCATGGCATAGTCTACACATTGCGGTCTGACTGAGGCCGAGGGTAAACATATGTTTATTGAGTTTGCAGTGACCAGTAAGTATTCTGGTTACCGTACTGGTTTTATACTTGTTGAGTTGAAGCAACTCTTTTGTAAAGGTTTTGAGATATCCCTTAATTAGCGCTTTAGAGTGTGTTTGTCCAGAAGTGGATTGCCACTCTTGAAGTGCTTTGAGATTGCAGTGGTTTTTGAGAATTGAATAGGCATGTTGTTTGGCAATACCACAAAATGGCTCGGGGCCAAATTCTGGGGTTTCAGCGCCCCTTCTTGCCAAGGCATCGGCCTTTTCATTCCCGTCTATACCTAAGTGACCCGGGACCCATCTGAGGGTAACTCTGTTGGATGTGCCCAGGACATTCAGATTATCCATACAGTCTTTGACCAACTTAGAGTTGGTCTCAAGAGAATCTATAGCCAAAAGTGCTGCTTGGCTACCTGAATTGATGTAGATATTTTGGTTCTTAAGCTTTCTTTCCAGGATGACTTCAGCACATTTGTTAATGGCGAAGACCTCTGCTTGAAAGATGGTGGCCTCTTTGCCCAGATGTTGACTCATGTTAAATGTAGGCTTAAGGCCATAGATACCGCACCCTACATCAGATCCTTTCTTGGATCAGTCTGTAAACCAAACATGACTGCCCTTTTTGTGAGACTCTTGGTCTTTTAGTCACATGTCCCGGTTGGGAAGATCTATTTGGTACTGTTTTGTGAAGTTAAACTCTGTGCTCATGCCATCCACTGGCATTTTTAGAGTTTTATGTTCGAATGTCAATTCTTTGAGTCTGTTCATATATTGCGATTGCAACCTTACATTCGATTGTGTACAGAGCCTGTAGAGGCAGGATTTAGCTTCTTTTTGCACGTGGAGATATAGCGGAGCTATGTCCAACAAAGCATTTAGAGCGTCTCCTGGTGCCGAATGAAAGGCTCCCGTGATAATAAGACATGCCATTCGTTGCACACTGTCTAGTTTACTTATAGTTGTCTTTTGTTTGGTTTTGTTGCACCATACGACTGAGGCGTATGTTATGATCGGCCTTACCACAGCGGTGTACATCCAGAGAACCATTTTGGGTTTGAGACCCCACTTTGCTCCAGCCATTCAACAACATATCCAAAGGGCCATTTTGGCTTTTTTTATAATGTTGTTGAGGTGAGAGTTCCAGGTCAACTTTTGATCAATAGTGACTCCAAGGTACTTTACCTCATTTGATAGGTTAAGGGTTTTGCCATTGAGTCTGAGTTTAGTCAGCCTTTTAAGCTTCCTTTTCCTGGCGAATGGTACAATAACTGTATTATCAGGGTTTATTGATAATTCATTTTCTCTACACCATCTTGTGATGGTGTTGAGAGCCCCTTGTAACCTGGTGGAAATTCTGTTAAGGCATGGACCTCTTACTACTACAACAAGGTCATCTGCATAGCCTTGTGTATCGTAGTCGAGATCCGCCATGATTACAAGTAGTAGGTCTACAGCTAGTGTCCATAATAGGGGTGAAAGTACTCCTCCTTGCGGACAGCCTCTGGTAGTGTAAAATTTGTGCGAGTGTTCGTTTAGCGTAACTTTCGCACACCGGTTGGAGAGCATATATTCCACCCATCTGGTGGTTGTGACATCAACACCTTTTGCATTTAATCCTTTCATGATGGTTGCCGTAGGTGTGTTTTCAAAGGCCCCCTCAATGTCCAAAAACGCACATAGAGCGGTCTGCTTATCCTCTAGGGACTTTTCTGCCTTATCGATCAGAGCTACTGAGGCAGATTCTGTTGATTTACCCTTTTGGTAAGCATGTTGATTGCAGGAGAGTGGTCTAGCCACAAGATACCTTGTTCTAATGTGTTGATCGATTACTTTTTCCATTGTTTTTAGTAGGAAAGAAGTAAGACTAATAGGTCTAAAGGATTTGGGCTGAGAGTAGTCGTTTTTACCGATCTTCGGTATAAAGATAACCTTGACCTTAGTCCATTGTTCTGGTATAATGCCCCAAGCAAAGCTTGCTCTAAATAGTTTTACCAGATGCGGGATAAGGAGTTCCATGCCCTGTTGAAGTAGTTTATTATGAAATCTTTCACTTAACGGACTCCAGTTAGCCAATATGCAAGGTTTTAAATTAACAACGACACGTTCGGCTCAGTTTGTAGTGAGCATACTTGCTTTGCCAGCGGTTGCGGGTTCAAGTCTCGCTGGGGGCATTTATTTGTGTGATGAACACGAATGTTTGTACTCCAGTCACGACTGGAGTACAAACACCCATGGGTGTTTAATGTTTATATTTATAACATGTATGTATTTAAATTTACATATGTGTAGTGTATCAACTATCTGGTATCCATATCACAAGCCTCATAGCTTACCATGGAACTAGATGGTGCGGTGTGTTAATGTCGTAATATTTTTATTTATTTAATTAATTTTTAATATGGTTAGCACATAAAAGTGAAGCCAATATTTTTTTTATTATATAAAGGCTATATATAGACGGCTTTTTATGACATTATGACATCTCTGATTTCCTACCCATATCTCAATCTTAAATTCCCATAAACTGAAAGAGCCTTGAATCTCACTAATATTATAAATGTGATAATTTGGATGGATTTTTGGATCTTTATTACTCAATCACGCCAGAACGACTGAACGGATCTGGATGAAATTTGACACACAGATTGATTATATGTTATAGTCTAGAATAGCACATACGACGTACTTTTTATCTCGGAAAAATCTACAGTTACCGTGCGATAGATTAGTTTCTGTTATTGGCGAAGTACAGATATAAATAAAACAATATGCTTAATTTTGTAAAATAAATTTATTTAACCGTATATTTTAATCTCTCTCGAAACTCCTATTATTATTAAGATTTATAATCAAGAATGTACAGAAGTAAGTACAGAGGTGTAGGCTATTGTTTATACATATATAGTAATAGGATATCACAAAGTCATGTTGTGAAGAGATGTTAAGAGAAAACATTTAAAAAACTGCTATACATACCCATCGCATTTTTTTACTCTGTCGTCTCAAGTCGTGTCTATTCTCTATCTGTCTACGGCCAGAGTCAATTTAGTCCAATCAATAAATACGTACAAGAGGGCGTTTGGTTTGAAACATCATATACTTATAATAATCGAGGTTATTCAATTTTTTTTAAATAAGGTCCAGGAAAGCTTAAGCTCATTTTTATTGTATGACCTTTTCTTTTACTGGAGATAAGAACAGCTATTTCTTGGCACTACATATCCAATATGTCGTAAATGTAATTGCAGAAAATTAACAAAGAAATTAAATTATACAAATGTCGAAATAAGAACTCTCCTTAACCTTTTATAAGTAAGAATCTTTTCTTGATAAGCTACTTATAAATATAAGAGATGATAGAAGTGACCTTTTCGATGCTAATAAAAGTGTATCTGTCTGTCAGTGCAGCTAGCTTATATTATGGTTTCCAATCATGAAGTCCTGAGTTCGAATCCCGGACCTGGTCAAGCTTTCTTCCAATAAATTCTCAGTCTGCAATGCAATTCAATGCAGAATTTGGTAAGTAGTATTAATCCTGTAAGGCCGCAGGTCCTGCACCAAATCATTCCGTAGTCAAAATAGCCAAAAAAATTGAAAAGTCCGAAAAAATCCGTGTCACGTAGGAAATAAGTAAAAATATTCTAAAATAAATAATAAAATAAATAAATACTATATTATTTTATAATAAAACTGCAGAAATTCGATATTTTTACCTATGGCCCACCTTAGTACAGCTACGGTCGCCACCGATTGTACTTTTGACATTTTATATGAATAATACGAAAATCCAGATTAATTTGAATTATCGCGAAGTTACGTATCTTTTATTTTTTTGATTGGACCGCCGTATCAAATTGTAACATTCAATAATGTATAATGAAACATTCAAACAAAAATATTTATCTTATGTAAGACATTTAAGAAACCGATGATGACAAGAAGAGCTACGTTTTAAACTCCTGATTTATATGTATTTACATCTGATTTTTAAGATTTGACACAGAAATAAATCTTAAAACATCACTTAATTAAAAGCTCTAATACATTCTGGTCGTAGTCCTCGAGGCGTAGACATGGTGGACTCTCGATCACCATCTCGCCAACTTTTCCCACTAACCAAAAAGTCTCCATTGGACCTTTGCCCTGAAAACATTACAATGAGAAAAATATTATTATATGTTTGGTTTAATTGATTATTACTTTTCAAAAGTTTTATATTATTAGTTTTCAAAAGTGCTTGTAATAAGTCTAATTGAATAAAGTTTATTTCATTTCATTTTATTACATAATTATCTGATGTTTTAATGGATCCTCAGGAAGAAAACTTATAGTACCTATCTATTGATTTCATCACAAGTCGACTCTTACCTGCACATCCACCACTCCTCTCGACTCCATAATGTAATTGCCAATCTCTTCTAACGCCGTCTTCGTCGTTTGCGATATGTGTATTTTCATTGCTGTAAATTATTTAAGGATATTTTAATATAATATACTTTTAATAATTGACGCTGGTGCACAATATGACTCGATTGAATTGATCTTGATTGATAATTGATAAATTTTTGACTAAAATTTTTTATCAAAAACGTTTTATCAATGTATGTAAAATATACATAATATATATATTACGTACACTTAAAAATATAGGAAAACCCTAAATTACTGGACTGATTAAAATCCTCTAAAAATCATGAAAAATAGCCATAACAATTAAAAAAACGAAATTAGCTGAAATATATTTTATGTTATTTTCAATTCACCGTACAATTTTAGTTCGATTTCTTGAATTACTTAATTTTTATCTTTCACATCATGTTAGTGAATGTTCTGTTCTGTTCAAATAAGAATAATTCTATTTAAAGCAAATAAATATAAACTCACGTTCCCCAGTGCTCTCCATCCTGCTGGCCGTATTGATAGTGTCTCCAAACAGGCAGTACCGAGGCATAGTGGCACCGACGACGCCCGCTACACACGGCCCAGTATTGACACCTGCCCGGATTCGAAGCAGATCATCGGGTCGATGTGGGATCCGAGCACCTTCCAAACTACGCATTAGAGATAACGACATATCTGCTATTTCTGATGCATGGCGGTTGCCTGTTGAGATGGTTTTACTTGAATAGTATATTCTCCTATGATCACGGTCATTGAAACTGGTTAATGATGAAATAATGAATGAATGAATATAATGATTATAAAAATCAAGTGACTGAATAAATGCTCAATGATTATCATCTTTATATCATCGAAGTGAATGAAAATTAAGTGAATGGAGAACGTGAATGAAAAAAAGCTACTTAGATGACGAAAATCTCGTTTGTAATGAGTATGTTTAGTCTGTTCAGTACCAATAACTTTAATATTTAAATGTATTTATGGTAATTTACTTTTTTTTCGTTAAAATAAAGCTATCAACCCTTCGCGAAGTTTCAAAAAACTACATCAAAATGTTTTCATGAAAACTTAAAATGTATGATAGGTTTTCAAATAACCATAAAATCAACGATTGTAAAAAATTGCATGTACGCATACCGTTCCTCTGTGGCAGCCCTGACACAACCATGTAAGCGTCTCCTATCGTTTCCACTTTATACACATTATACTGCATTATTTTATCGTCGAACATCCTAAAAATTAACCAGTTTCAAATAATTGTAATTGAAAATAGTGCTTATTTTTAATTGAAATTAATTTACATATATTCTACTACAAAATGTTCAAAGTTATAATTAATAAATAATCCAATTACTGTTACATTTTGGGCGCTATGTTTACTACAACATATCATTTATGTTATTTTATAGTCAATTTTGAAAGATCTACAAAAGGATTTCATCTGTTTGTTTGTATTTAGACTATCTAAAAGTAACACAAGCTATTTCATTTCAGTAATAACAATTCTCCAGCGATGGTGAGTCGCTAGTAAACTATATAAGAGTTACTATATAGTTACATTACTCATATAAAAAATAATGTTTTATATATACAATGAACACTAATAAAATGAAAAATAACAGTTTTCATACATAATTTAGCAATACCGACCTATATAACATGTTTAACATGTTAATTATCTCCATGGGAGTGCTCGTAGCAGCTATATTTGTAAAGCCTACAATATCACTGAAGTATATCGTTACTGCATCAAAGGCCTCCGCTGGTACCGTTCTTTGGGCTCTAAGTCTCCTCAGGACTGGTATTGGCAACATCCTCGATAGTAATAGATCACTCTTTTGCTTCTCTATCATCACCTGCTGTGTGCTATGTTCTATGGACTCTGTGAACGCCTGAAAATGAGTTATTTGGTAAACTGTACACTATTAAATAATTAAATATAATTATGTAATGCTTCTATGACCGATATTTAAGCTAACGAGGACAAAAATTATTGACACTCTAATAGGGACTATTACATACATACAGAAGCTACATATTATTGGCGTAACACACGAGCAAAACGTGGATGAAAACTACAAAAAAATATGTTTATTTTTATAATTTTTTAGTACTTAGATACTTTTGTTATTTATTTTATTATTATTATTTTGAATAATAAAGAAAACAAAAATAATTAGCAACAATTTAAAATGTTTAAAATGTGCAAATTAAATTATATAGACAGGACGAAATCTCATCTCATCCACAGTGCACGGAAAGAGCTTTCATATTTTTTGTTGTATTGTTTGTGTTTTCGGATGACTATTTGAATAAATGTTTTATAAATAGTTGAATGATTCTAACGTTATTTTACTATATCTCATCTCTTTATAGATTTTTTTATCTCAGTCTGTCTAACTTTAACTCATATCATCTAGTTATTACCTGTAGCGTACGAAACGTGTGCCGCAGTAGTAATACAAGAATGGGCGCTGCACAAATGACCACTCCAAGTACTGAGATACCCAGAACTAGAGTTCGCCGCGCCGCCCATATCTCTGCGGCCGCTGATTCTCTTTATAAAATGAAAATAATTATTACACTAATGTTACATACTAGCGACTTACTCTAGCATCACTCGCATGCGCTCCTAGGTGTATTTTTGCTATATATTTTATTGATTAATTACTAGCGACTCACCCTCGCTCCGCTCGTTTTTGTCCCTACTTACTTTTTAAGGTTTAGTATAGATTTCTCAGAGATGAAATATTTTCCCGCAGTAAAAAGTCATCCTATATGTTGACCCGGATAACCAGCTACCATCATACCAAATTTCATCAAAATCCCTCGAGTGGTTTTTCTGGTAACTGACAACAGCGGTAACAGACAGGCGAACAAAAATTCTAAAAACTATATATTCGGTCCCTGTATCGATAATAATGTCTATTTTATTAAGATTTTCAAAAAAAAATATTTAATGTACAGATTCGGCATAGTTAGAATTTTATTACACTATGTATAGATTTCAAACCGATTAGGCAGCGCACGCCAATAATGCTCAACGATCGTTTCCTTCTCAATTTATGTTATTATGGTTTCTGACAGTGAACACATTTTTACCGGAATAAAAAATAGCCTGTAGCCCTCAACCGTAAACAGCTTCTTATTAGTGAAAGAATTTTCAATTTTCAGAACCGGATCAGTGTTCTCAGAGATTATCATCTACATAGGTATGTACTTACAAACTTACGTACTTTACCTCTTTATAATATTAGTGCAGATTGGAAAGTTTGCGAGTAATTTTACGCTGTTATAACTTAACGGATTTGAGTGAAAATCGAACTGGAAAACCTACTTTAGCTAACTTTTATTGACGAGTGTACCAGGCGAGCAGAGCTGCAGGCAGAGAGTAGTACACAATGGTGTTATTCTAACAAACTTTTTCTTTGTTTTCATAATAAAACAGTTCAGTGTTTCAAATTATTATCTTTCTATCGATTACGATCACTCTTTTTACTCGTATTGTAAGTATCTCGTCGTGAATTACACTCGAACTAGAAACAAATGTTTGTTTCATTCATCTCATATTTGTCGCGATGTAAGTGTATATCTCGATGTTCTGTTTATACTTTACGGGCCCTTGTCATAAGATAGCTTAATGGAGGCGATTGAATACTTAGCATCATTTATTTCATTTATTTAGTTACTCTTAGCGAGATAACAAATCAGCATTACTGCAATATTAAAATATGTTATATTATTGATGTGTGTATGTATGTTCCCTATGGAGTCCAAAACGGCTGGAGTGATTTTGATGAAATTTTCAGGCAATCTTCAGATTAGCCCAGCGGGTGATCCTGTGATTTTAGTAACGACCTGAAGTTTGAACGCGGGCGAAGCCGCGGGCATTAATCATAAACAAAGAATTCTTATATATGTATCTTTAAACAAACTTCTGAATAGTTTATACGATATAGCGAATGTATTTCATGATAGTAATAAGTTTAATTGAGCGTCCAATTGCTGGGCACGGGCCTCCCCTCAATGCTAAACGCGAGTTGGCAGACTTCACATGTCCTTCGAAACTATGTAAATTCTCTCAGACATGCAGGTTTTCTCATAATGTTTTCCTTTGACGTAAGGCTAATGATTATCATATTGAAATTATTCATAGTTGTAGTGCGAAACCCGGGGCTAGAACCCTCTATATTTACATTTCTAAGCGCGTTTACCACTGCTACGGGATATTAGCATTATCTATACATATAATAATAATTACCCTGAGTCGAATCTGTACATAAAATATTTCTTAGAAAATCTTATTGAAATAGTCATTATGATTGATACAGAGGCCAAGTCTATAATTCTTAGAATTTTTGTATGTCTGTCTGGGAACACATACGAGAAAACCACTGGCAAGATTTTGATGAAATTTGGTATGATGATAGCTGATAATCCGTGTCAATATTTAGAATACTTTTTACTGCATAAAAATATCTCATATCTGAGAATTATGTATACTGACCATTAAAACGTATCTAGGGACGAACCCGAGCAGAGCAAGGGTGAGTCGCTAGTTTATATTAGGTATATATAAAAGACATTAATTTTAAGAACTCATAAGCTACAAAAGGACTCACCTAACAGTTACCCATAAATTAACTTGCTCTTCTCTCAACTGGAACAATAAGGAATACGTATCGTCCATATACTTGCTAGTCACAACTCTCCATTTGCCTTCTTTTGAAGTATCATTTATCGAAAAAAAAGATGACGTTGTATAACTGAAATATAAATAATGGTGGCATTAAATACAGAGCATTAGCTATAAAAAGCATTAGCTACTTAGTAATTATTTTAAATACAACTAGTGTTTCGTGGTTGATTTTCGTACCTGACGTTGCGAATGTTTTACAGCAAATGTGGTCGTTTGAGAAGGTTCTTGATATTTTTCAATTACATGTATCAGACTTAAATAATAAAATTGTTGATACTAATAAATAATTACTATTATATATTACAATCCAATTATTTAATTTTATGTTCAGTTACACTATAATTTAAATTATCAATTTTATTTATCTCTATCTATAATACTTTCTTGGATTTACGCGAATATTTGACATTTTAAATAAAAAGTATCTTTTCGGATTTTTTCTCCTTAGCTTCTCCTTAACCTTAGTATATCCCGTGACCATGACTGATGTATAACATTCGAAACGTCGGGACCCTAAAATCAAAATAAAAGGTCACAAATTTTCCAACAGGTACTTACAAAGCATAAACTTCCTCCAGGATCTTAACATTTACCCTGTCAACTTCTAAATACTGTATTGCCGACCGTAAATATTCTATCACCAATACAAGATTGCGTTTCACATCCAATATTGCTTCCACATCTCCAGATAGAAGGGAATATGTAACTTGTGTTAAGGAAATAGACAGCTCATCTATTGTATGCACTAGTTCGTAGCATGCTGATAGTTGTCTGAAATAATTATTAAGAAATATAAGGCCTGAAAAATCTATAATAAAATATATGAAATATACATGAAAATCGGCCAAAAGTTAGTTATTACAAATATATTTACTATACATATTTTTAATATATTTCTACATTTATTATAGATTTTTAATATATTTATAATATATTTTTTATACATTTTGACATTTATTTTTTAATATTTTTTTTCATGGGGGTATACTCACGATAAAATAGTGAAGGCATTATTAATTTGATTTTGTCTTTTTAGATTATCAGTATGGATAAATCTGTTTGTATCATCTGCAATAAGGCAGATGATAAACAAGTGTATGAACTAAAAAAGGGTTTTTGTTTTTTGCATTTTCTCAGAAGATTTACTATAAGTAACATATATATTTTTTTTCACCATCGGAAAGTAGAGATTTCAACAAACAGAAAAAATACCAACTTTTTGAAATAAGCTGATATTTTGACGGGTGAATTTTCGATTGAAAATTAGGGTGCTTTTTCGATATTAATTCAAAATAATAAAATATTTTTAATTTTTCACATAAATGTTGAGGTTATGTGAAAAAAGTGTTTTAGATCTTTTTATTACCTACAACTTTGCCATTTGACTTTTTTCGATAGGACTTTTAGTTTTGCCGGAAATCGAGAAAAACCGTTTTTTACCCTTAAAAACTCACCCCCCTCCCCTTCCCGACCTCAGATCGCCCGTAAATTATTTTTCCTTTCATTTTTATAATATTCCCCTCCTTTTCTAATGGGTTTCATCCTACTATTATTTTTTTTTAGTTTTAAAAATTATCGACCCTGGTCTAATAGGTACGTTTCCATTTTTAAAATATGGCACTTCTATACAAAGTTATTTCCTCATCCCAATATTTTTATAATATTCTGATTTTTTTAAATACTTTGTACCAAAATATACACGTGATTTTGGATAGGGGGGAGGGGGGAGGGAGAAAGCAGGGAGGGGAGGGGGAGGGAGAAAGCGGGGAGGGGGAGGGAGAAAGCGGGGAGGGGGAGGGGGAGGGAGAAAGCGGGGAGGGGGAGAAGGGGGGAGTGGGGGTATTCTAAGTATCACGTATCGCCAGGAGTTACTAAAAAGAGTTACTAAAAATATCACATGATTATTGGACGACCCCATAGTGATCATATGTACCTACAATATACCTAAATATTGGTAAAAATATATATTTAAATTTAAATGTTTTAGCAAATACCTCCATAATGGAGATTTCGTAGACTTCACGCTTTTCATCATATAAACGAGTAGTATCGCGTTTATTTGTTGGTAAATAGATATCCTCTTCAACGAGTCTTTCTTCTGTAAATTCCTGAAATATAAAAATGTATAAAAAATTTAATTACCTACATGATAATAATGGAAACAACCTTAATATTATTGAAAATACCTTAATACTATTGTTTGAATTAAAACTATTGGCGGCGATTTAGAATTGGGGACTTGGCCCCTAGCGGAGTGGGTGGTATTTCTGGATAAGGGACGTGATAGAGAGTCGAAATGTTAAATAAATTTTTTAATACAACAAAAGAGTCAAAAGTTATTGAGACTTAAAGTTATAACATTTCCATACATTATTTTGACATTACTACCATTTAGACACTTGGAGTCAAAACGTCACTTTCAATTGTCAAAATGATCTCCAGATGATTGTCTTTATTTGTACTTTGCGTGAAATTCGAATTTTCTAGTTTTCTAGTCATTTATGGCACTCGCCGGCCGCTACCGCGGCACGCTCGCTTCGCTCGCTCGGCTCGTGCGTTGTGGCAACTGTTCTAACCTAACCTAACCAAGATATGACGAATAATTAATAAATAATCTTAAATGTTCTAACCTAACCTAACCCAGATATGAGGAATAATAAATAAATAATCTTAAATGTTCTAACCTAACCTAACCCAGATATGAGGAATAATAAATAAATAATCTTAAATGTTCTAACCTAACCTAACCCAGATATGAGGAATAATAAATAAATAATCTTAAATGTTCTAACCTAACCTAACCCAGATATGACGAATAATAAATATATAATCTTAAATGTTCTAACCTAACCTAACCCAGATATGACGAATAATAAATAAATAATTAAAAATATTCACAGATAAAAAAATGTTTTTTTTTATTAAATGTACAATTGTAAAACAATATATTTTACATAAATCAAATAAAAAGTCATAAATGTATTTATAAAGTGAAAATAATATTTTTCTTTTTATTTATTTATTTATTAATAGTAATATTTTACCAACAGAAAAAGCAAAAATAATCAAATATAATCTGTTGTCATTTAAGCGGTAATATAAAACAAAAGTGTCAGTTTTGCTTTTGTCAAAATGTAAGATCATTTTGTTTGTGTTGTGAAATTATTAAAATATTAAATACAATAAAGCATTAATTGTTGTGAAAATGTGTAATGTACATAAAAAAGGATGCGTACTATTCGTTAAAGGTATGTTTATCTGTTGTAATCACTTATTTAGGTAAAGAAATGTATGGAAATGTGTTAGATATGTTATAACTTTAAGTCTCAATAACTTTTTAGTCGTACGTTTCCTCCAAATATTTTTAATATATTTTGACTCTCTGTCACCTCCCCTATCTAAAAATACCACCCACTCCGAATGGTGGTAAAGAAATATATGAAAATGTATGGAAATGTTGTAACTTTAAGTCTCAATAACTTTTGAATCTTTTGTTGTATTAAAAAATTTATTTAACATTTCGAGTCCCTATCACGTCCCTTATCCAGCAATACCACCCACTCCGCTAGGGGCCAAGTCCCCAATTCTGAATTTGTGCCAAACTATTATACGAGAGCAGGGAGAGAGAGAGAGAGAGAGAGAGAGAGAGAGAATATCAGTATGCTGTAAACTCAGGCCCTGAATAATAATCAAAAATCACAATGTCACAATATTCAATTCAATCCATTTGTTCAGTGGCTTCTGGAAGTGTCATTTGGGTATATTTTATTTCGCCTATACACGTTACATATACAAGTTAATAAACAAGAAAAAAACACTTAATCTGATTAAATGTAGAAACGATGTAGGTATGTACATAATAAGATACCAAGCTTTTATTAAACGGTTTTATTTAGCTTGCCTTCTTTGTTGGGTCAAATTTAGTAATTGGAATTTTACCCCTTTCCTGTTGAAAGATTGATCTGATATTTGGTACGCAACTTTAGTTCTGATGACAATACAATTTAATATATTTAGTATTATTGTAAATCCAAGAAGGCTGCCGCCATAAAACGACGGATTACATTTTTTTCACAACCCCCTCAATATGGTTATTACAAATAGAACAAAAGGACTGTACAAGTAGAACACAGTGCATGGCGGATCATCTATAGAGTTTAGACAGTTTAAACTAAAAAAAACCAGTCGTGAGGATTGCTGGATAGAAGTGAAAACTTAAAACTATAAACAAACATTTGTTATTTTTGGATATTCAAATAAATTCCTGGATCTTAAATTAAAATTTGTAAATTAAAACTGTTTACATTTATCTGGTTTTGACATCAATCGGCACTGAGTGCTAGCATTAACACATCACGTGACCATGTCGACGACGACATACATGAATTTACTCCCCATCCAAACCTGCCTATAGAACTTTTCACTTCAAAAAATAAAAACGTGAAAGTACAATAGGTATTTTTTTTTAGTTAAATGGTTTTATTGAAAAGAAAACAAAAACAAACCTATCCCACGCGAACCATACATTTTTCCAGGGTAAAAAGTAGCCTATGTATTGTTCTAGACTATAATCTATATCTGTGCCAAAATTCATACAGATCCGTTCAGCCGTTCTGGCATGAAAGAGTAACAAACATCCATACATACAAACTTACTATACGGATAATATACTAAAAGCTAAAAAATAATTAGATAGGTCCTAGGTACCAGTTACATATTTACTCAAGTTACGATAAGCCCCACAATTTTTTTTTTGAGAGTTTTTTTTTTGATCAATAATAATAATAATAATAAAACTTTATTAGCGTTAAGTTTTTACACTTCTAAGCGCAAAATAAAGCTAATTACTATACCGTATACTAGTTAGTATTACCGACCAGTTCCTTCCTCTACGGCGCGGCTACATTAACGCGCAAATATTCGTGTCGCGTTGGCGCGATAAAAACATCGTGTACGATGTTACTGTATGTGTACTCGATGTTCTTGTCTACATATAAGCAGTCAATGTGTTCGCCTGTTTCGCGGCCGATGTAGGTGATAATTCTTGCTAAGTAAAATGGAAATTGTATTGTATGTCGGCAAATTATAAATTATTATTATGCGAATACCATTTAGATTTAGATGTGAGCTTATTTTTAATTCTAACCCACGCATCATATACCAACATTTTTCCTTTTGCGGTCGGGGTTTCCGTTTCATAAATTTCAATAAACTCCAATATTTTTTTATAGCTTCGATCCATACCGTAGTTGCGTCGTCACTTTCCCGCCAAAATATCAATCGTCCGTTCCGCTCAAAGTCTGGACTGCAACTCAGTGGCGAAGTGTAGCCAGGCAAGCAAATATTGTCGCGCTAAAACCCTTTGATGCGCGCTAGTTTACCGTCATTGCCGAAATAAGCATTCGTCATCACCCGAATACTACGCGATGCGCCGAACTACCCGGCTACACTTGTCGCGATAATACGAATATTCGCCGTATCCCGCTAATGTAGCAGCGCCAATGACATAAAAGAATTATCACTAAATTATCATTAGACATTATGACTAAATTTAGCATATATTTAACTAAAAAGCCACACAATAATAACAATGAAATTACAATCTCAGTTGTACATTAAAGTTTTAAACATTGATTTTAACATTATTATTATTTTTTACAAGTACCGCCAAAAAAGTAAAGTAGTAGGTAAAGTTATACCACTGAAAACAATGAATGAATGCCAAATTTTAAATCTGTAGATTGTATTTTTTTTATTTAAGTACCTAGTTTTAAACTATATTATTTTATGTGGTAAATTTTACTGCATTAATTATTTAGGTATTCATAGGTAATTAATATTATTAAAATGGTTAATTAACATTTATAATGATAAGGCATTTGTCCCACACAAACAAATAACTTTTAAATAAGTCCAGTACTTTTCCTCTAATGCCAATATTTTCCATTTTACTAAGTAATATCGGGACAGATACTGTGTGATCTAAAAATTACGCCTATACCCCTTTCTTGTTGATCTAGAAGATTTGCAACGTAGTAAGGTCAAAGACTGCTTAAGAGGTAGACAGACCTGCTCTAAAGACGTATTGATTTTTCGATATAATCGATTTTTTTATTTAAATATGCTACAAGCCTTTTATTTAGTATTTTCTCAAAAAAAAAAATGACAATGCCGGTAATACAGAAATAAGTCGATAGTTATTGACACAGTCTCTGCCTGCCAGAATAACCTGCGTGTTTTGGAGGTAAATGCTTCGGAAACGTAAATTGGATACTGGTTTAGCTTTATTCCTATAACGGTGAATTGAGTTTTTGTTAAAGATGCTACTAAGTTTAACTTCTAGAATTAGAAGTTAAGTAAGTTTTAACTTCTAGAATAATTAATTCGTGATTTAGATAAGACTGAAGTAATTTCTGCAATAATAGTGCCCTTACCAGACTTTGTAGTGATTCTGTATACGTCTCTGAGCTCTTTTTGTGATACATTTACATTTAGGGTTTTACAAGTATTTTGTACGATCTGACATAGATTTCCCTTAGTTTCACGTTGTGTTGGCAATTGGACGTTTCGTATTTCCATAGTGGATGTTGTTAAGCTTCTTTTTATGTTTTCTACCCGTGATACTAGTGAAGCTATTTGCAGTAGATGCTGTTTGCGTTCTTTTTCCAAATTTTTTATTTTTTCACCATATCTTCATACTGATTATTGAGAAATTCAATGCCCTTTTCTATGTCCTCGTTTGACTTCTTTATTTAATTATGTTGCTCTTTTATTGTGGCAACTTGTGCTACTAACTTTTCCAACAAAGAATTTTATGTATTTTCCCACTCACTTATTACGTGAGTAATCTCTTCTTTGAATGATAAAAATGTTTCTTCGCTACACTCTCGTTGCCTTTTGTTGCGTTGGGATATAAATGTTACCGTTACAGCATCAAGTGGAATCTTGATAACACCTGAATCCGATGAGGTATGTTGAAGCACAGGTGGTGATCTAGTTACTTTAGACATTTTTAGTTTAAATTCACAGTTTATGCGGTCGACTTAAGTTTACTCTTCACAACTACTGCTCGCCTGGTACTTACTCTTGTATAATTAATTTAATTTTAAAATCCATATATTAAAATGTAAAATAACAATGGCAAGACGTCTGTACACTATCGCGAATCAGGAAGGGATTAATGCCCTAGATTAATGAGGAGAGTGGTGTGATGACTGGTACCTATCGTATTATTTTTTAAGTAATGTTCGGAAACTTCGGAAACTTGGAGCCGTTAATCTTTAAAAAAAATCTGAGATATCAACTAGTGCTATGTACTACATATTTTATTTTTACATAACAAATGTTCGAAGTACAATAAGTATATGTACCTACTAGAACTTGCAACTGAAACATTAAATTAAAAAAAAAAAACAATTTTCAATACGTATAATATTATTAATCTGACAACTAATTGCCATCTTTTGTATACAGTAACATGTAAAGGAAACAAAAGCTATTTACAGTATTTTACTCTCCGACCCACATTATTAATGCTAATGATTCTATTTATCTACATACAAATACTCCTGCGCATGTCTAGCCATTCACGCACATTCATGGGGTAATCAGGCGGGGCTCAGTGAGTCTAAGCCAATGGGAAATCCGCGGGTCTGTTAAACAAGAATAAGCGCTATCATTTAATACTCATTGTGTTTGTGGGGCTGCGACCATTTGTGTTACGTTCGAATTCTAAGGCGGGGCATTGATTAATTTGACCACGACAAAGTTAAGCAAATACTTGTTTATCTTAGAATGCTTATCAGCATATACGATAGTGCTATAGGTGACTAATTTTTTACTATATTTACACTTTTTATACTATTTATAAACTCAGTCTTTGTATGACTCGGAGGATATCATAGTATCATAAATAACTAAACTTCCTTCACAGATCGGAAGGAATCACTACTTTATCCTTGTCTAACCCTTGTCTTGAATGTTATGGTAATATTTCACTCAATTTTTTTGTTTGTAATATAATACTAATATTATAAAGAGGTAAAGGTTTGTGAGTTCATGAGGTTGTAGGGGGTAATCTCTGGATCTACTGAAACGATTTTGATGAAATTTGGTAAGAAGATAGCTTGAGACCCTGGGAAGGACATAGGATACTTTTTATCCCGGAAATAATCCTTTAAAGGGTGAAAATGGGGATAAAAGTTTGTATGGGAAATCAGCCTAGGGACGAACCCGAGCGAAGCGAGGGAGAGTCGCTAGTAATTTGCTTATCTTCACTAATTTATAAGCATCCGAATCAAATCACTGTATTTGAAGGACGGAAGTGCTGATAGCCTATATTGGCAAAAGTAACCGCTTGTTAAGGATTTTTAGATTTTCAACCACGAAAAGTGGTTTAAGGGGAGAAAGCTTTAAAGTTAATAATGCTTTAATACCATTATTACTTAAAAGTTAATATTCACGTATTTAATAAGCCTGCCTGGTTTTGGCAGTATCAAATTAAAAAATAACTATGTAGCCTGATTTTTTATTTGACAGGGAATGTGCCGCGGAAATTAATTCGAATTATATTCTTCAAAAAAGATCAGTACGGGCTATTTATGATCTAAGAGCTCGTGATTCCCTGCGAGATGCTTTCAAAAAAATTGGTATTCTTACGGTTGCGTCACAATATATACTGTGTCATATATTACTAGTTCGTAAGAATTTAAATAATTACGTAAAAAAACAGTGATAGACACACAATAAACACTAGGAATAGAAATAAGCTAGTCACGCCTAGATTTCGACTCCAAAAGCTGAATAAATCCTTTATGGGCCTGAGTATACGCATATATAATAAGATTCCACAAAATGTCGTAGATTTACCTTTTCAAAAATTTAAAGATAAAATTAAAAACATTTTATTGAGCAAGGCGTATTATACTGTTCAAGAGGTTCTTGTTGATGAAAATGTGTGGAATTGGGTGATGTTGACTCATATGCAGGCTATCTATATTGTTATGTTAATAAATTCATGTAACCTCTTTATTTAAAAGAGCAACTGTTGAGTTTCTCGCCGGTCCTTCTCAGCAGAACTGCTTTCCGAGCCGGTGGTAGCTTACTCACGGACTGACTACACTGACGCTTTCATTAAATTGACGATTCAAAAGTACTTGTAATAAGTCTAATTGAAAAAAAAAAGATACTTGCGGCTTACCTTCACTTCGCTGGGAGCGTCACTAAGCTTGAATAGTTTAAGAATCCATAAAAGACAAACGTCAAAAAAAGACTTTTTTACACCAAAAACCTTTGCAGACCTATACAGAATAACCCGCCACATATTTATTACAATCATATCAATGGATTAAGAACGCATACATGACAAACATACGGATATTCATTTTTATTTATACAGCAGATAGATAAGTAAAATTGAAATAAAGTTGATTTTATACTATTACATAATAAATATGAAAACTAATAACTACTAATAAATATCATTATACTTACATTATACTCATTACGTCCTCTCGTAAATGGCTGCATGTAATTAAAATATTTTCTATATTTTTGACCATAATACGTAGGTACCTGTATGAAAAAAATGTAATTCATTCATTTTGTTTATCTTCATTTCCTCTTCCATTCAGTTCCCTAAGACAAATTGATTGAGGTATACATATATATCATCCACTAATTGAGTAATAAATTATGGGAATAAGGTATTCCGGTCACGTGACATAACGCTTACATACATAATATGTTATCATTTCGCTATATTTTGTCCGACTTCAAAAAAATAGTTATTATTTTTGTTGTATTTTATTGGCTCACCCTCACTTTTCGGTATAATATCTATACATATAATGAAGTTGTAACTAAGCCGAATCTGTACATTAAATATTTTTTGGAAAATCTTATTGAAATAAACATTATTATCTATACAGAGGCCGAATCTATAGTTTTTAGAATTTTTGTTTGTCTGTCTGTTACCGTATCACAGAAAAACGACTAGAGGAATTTTGATGAAATTTGGTATGGTGATAGCTGGTTATCCGGGTCAAGGGTCTTTTTACTGTGGGAAAATATCTCATCCCTGAGAAATCTATACTAATCGTGAAAACATAAGTACGACGAACCTGAGCGAAGCGAGATTGAGTCGCTAGTATAGAAATATAACAGCTATCCATATATAGAAATATAGTTTGCGATGAAATATTTAATAACATTTTTCCTTATTGATTTTCCATAGTTATTGTTACACCACTTGCCAGATCCTTCTGTAAAATTATTTTGTGCGTAATCATATAAAAGGACGCAACGGTTTTTGATCTCACTGAGACTTCACATTAAAAATATACATTTTCGCGAGAGCAATTTATTTTAGTGCTCAGGAATAAAAATACTCATGTATGTTTGACACACGTAATAATGTCAACCTATCAACGGCCAATCTCACTGAGACTAGACTGTCTATTCCTGTCACTCTCCTACTCCAGTGGGACGACAATTTTCTACTACCGGTGGAACATCAGACCCAAAACCAAGCGCTTTACAAGCTGTCTTAGGGACGGAAGTGAAGCACCGCCAACTTCACCGCTTTAGGTATGTGTCTAGGTAGAAAACTCAATAAATAAATGTGGCTCGACACGGAACTCGAACTCAGGACCTTCGGATCTGCAGCCGTATATGTTAGCCACTAGACCACAGGCAGGCACACACATAAAATAAAAATATTGTATCGCATACTGAATTAAATGTCGATTTAACTACACTATTTGGCTTGAAATATTGCTATAATAAATATATTGCCTTTACGCTTCAGTCATATGATTTCATGGACACTGTGCACGTTCATTTAATACAATATGAACGGTTGGTATGTGAAAATGTAGTAACATTTTATATTTCAAAAACTCAATAGATCTGTGCTTTGTTTGAACTAAATTTTTGTTTTTTACTATTTGCAGTGCACTAAAACAATTTTTTAATATATTTTTTATAGTTTTGAGTTTTCTTTATTAAATATTTTACATTCTACGCTCTTTTGTGTTTCATTAATTAGCAAGTTGTAGTTTTTTTTAGTTAGGTAATAAAAATATTATTTTGAAGGTACAAAATACTTAATGAAATCCTTAAAAAATGTACATTGTTTTTCTGCATGATTAAAATAAAATCTCATCAGTATTATTTGATTTTGTTCTTGGTTTATAGAATACTAGCAACTTAACCTCGCTCCGCTCAGGTTCGTCCCTAGGTATGTTTTAATGGTTATTATTCAATCTGTACAGATAGGTAAATAAAATTGAATTGTCTGTTTGTAATATCAAAATAACAGCGTTTTACTAATGCATATGAAATTATATACGGTATTTATAAGAAAAACACAAATTTTAAATTTTTTGTCTGTGTGTCTGTCTGTTTGTTCCGGGTAATTTCTGAAACAACTGGACTGATTTCGACAGGACTTTCACTGGAATCTTCCAAGCTATCTAGCTGATGTTATAGGAAGTGAAATAGGCTACTTTTATTTTAGAAAAAGAATTAGGGTTCCTATAAATAAATAAATAATAAAAGAAAACGATAAAAGAAGCGAAAGATATATTGTAGGGATCGTAAATCGCTTAGCAGTATTTTCTTTACCTGAAGGTTATGTGTGTAAATACATTACATATTTCTTTACACTTAGCTAATTCTTGTTAGCTAATGATGTTCTCCTAGCCGATTCCGGCCACGGCGGCCAATCTCAATGAGATTAGCCAACTGCGCAGGAGATATTATAGTGCTCAAGTGTACGCGCAGACACAAGTGCACTCTCTATTCCTATTACTCTCATATTCCGGTGGGACGACCACTCGACACGACCGGTGAGAGTTAAGGCGCAGGACCGACGGCTTTACGTGCTCTCCGAGGCACGGGGGTGAAACACCGCCAACTTCCCAATTCCGGGCTGTTACTGAGACTTACTATACAGGAGACTCAATAACTAAACTTGGCCCGACCCGTGACTCGAACCCAGGACCTCCGGGTGTGCAGCCGTACATGCTAGCCACTACACCACCGAGGCAGTTAAACCTGCCAGCCGATACAAAGCAAAGCACACCGACTTCGAAATTATTTGAATAGGTATGTATAGTAAATGAAAACTACCAATCAGTTTTTTTTTACTTTTTAGTGCTTTTGTTTGAAGTCGGTTTTTATTTATATTCCATTGGTACGAAAACGTGTCGTGATCGGAAATGTCAGGCTCACGACCAACCGCTTTATATGATCTCCGTGATCTCTCTCTATAAGGGACAAGGTGCGCATTACAACTTTGCAACTCATTGTACCTCGAACCCAGGACCAAGAAATAGATCCCCTCAATCAGAATAAATTTATTAGAAATATAAGTTCAACAGCTGAATTCTTTTTAATAATATTATACTACGTATAATACATATGAGCATATTTTAAAATATTAAACCAAAAAGAGTATTAAAAGTGCCTCATGAATTCATACAGTCTGCATCAAAAGAATTCCATGTTTGTGGTGGAATCCTAACGGACCGACAACACTTAGTAAAAAGGTTAAATTCTGTACTGAAGTGCTTTTAAGTATATTTGAATAAAATAGGTATATTAAAAGTCCTTTTCAATAAGAGATAATTTTTGTTTGAATTTGTTAATACATATAAGTTTATAGAAGTTTGAGAGTACTAAATAATCAATTCTTATATCGACATCTAAAAGGAACGAGATTATAACTCAGTATTATACGAATTTGAATATTGTTTGAATCAGAATTGGGATGATAATAACGCGAATACAATGGAAATAAAACTTGAAACAAGTTCAATTTTTCCCATAAATAAATTTACAACGATTACAATATATTTATTAGTGATTGTCCCGTGATTGAAATCAGTCATAATTGATTGAGTTTGAAAATTGTTGAGATTCTTTTGTCAAAATTACATATATAGCTTATATATATATATATATATATATATATAGCTTCAGTATATGAACTATAACAAAAAGATTTTTGCGTATTGGATCTGTAGTTGCACAGACTACGACATGCAGACAAACAGATAAACTCTTTGGGTATAGGCTATTTACTATCACATTGAAGTTTATAGAAGCAGACTAATTATATCGTCAAAAAAATTTAAGCTTTCAGCAGTCTTTCTTCGTATAAACTTTAACCAAAGCTAATATTCCTTCGAACGCACATTAAGCTTAGAATGTGGTATAAAGATTTCCTTTCTTGCATTATACAAAGGAAAAGACTAAACAGTTCTGCAATAATGATGATATGGTTGAATTTCCACCACTTTTTTCGACGTTGAAAAATTTCAGTGGGTACTACCACGAGCCCCAACGGCAGGCCTGCCGAAGCAGACTACAACAAATGATTTTTGTTGAAACAACAAATGATTGATATTAGAACAAGGATTGAGATGGAGTCTCTTAGATTCGCATCTAGCTGGACACATCATGGGAGAATTTGGACCACTTAGCAAACACTTGTTAATATATGAATAGCTAAAATCTCTCACCGACAACTTCACCGCGTGAAAGCTTACAGCAAATACTCAAAAGTCAATTGGATTTTAATAGTATTTTTATTGTTCATAAAAGGACTTTACTGCTTAAAACCACTTCGCCTAAACGAATGGAACAAGGAACACGAATAACCACCACCCACGAAGGATACAGAATCTCTATATTTAATTTTATATAAATTTAAGCTCTTTTATCTTTTTGAAACGTCGTTTTGTGCTTTTGACAATTTGTTTAACAGATATCGCATATAATACGAATTTAATTTTTATGAAGTAACTATCGTCTTACCCTCGCTTCGCTCGAGTTCGCCTCTAGTAAAACAAAACCAAATCTACTCCACGGGAACCGTATATTTTTCCGCGATAAAAAGTAGCCTATGTGCTATTCCAGATTATAATCTATCTCTGTGCCGTATTTTATTCAGATCCGATTAGCCGTTCTGGTTTGATTGAGTAACAAACATCTAAACATCCACCTATATTTTGTCATTTATAATATTAAGTAAGATTTAATTAGTGCAACAGGAAAAAAACAATATAATTAAGTTTAATTAAAACTAATAAAGTAATAATTTAAATTTAAACTTTTAGCTGAAAATTAAATTTACACTATAATAAAAGGAATAATCTAATTTTGTTTTAACTATTGACAAATGACGCACAAACTGACGTCACGCCTCGTTCCTGTTTTTGCTTAACTTTTCCAATGCTGTTTCGCAAGTAAACAATAATATAATTTACTCTACTCATTTTAGTTTAGTCTAACATGTGCCATTGCTGTCTAATATGAGAGGTCGCCGGTTCTATTACCGGCTAGAGGAAGTATTTTTTTTATTCGAATTGATTGACTGAGTGTGAGTACAAGGACTGTCAGTTTTAAATTAGCTGGCGTCCCGGCATATGTGTGTCAGTGTTGCCACCTGTGAGTTTAAAAAGTACTGAACGAGCTGAGCCGAGAGCATAATATGAATATAGCTTAAAAAAGCACAA